AACAGTGAAGTGTTGTACAAACTGCCTGGCCTCAGATGACACTGGAGAGGAATTTATCAAAACTAGAGCAGCCATGCATGGCAACCAATCAGCTTCTATCTTTTATTTTAAAAACTTCACTGAACATGTTGAAGATAGAAGCTGATTGGCTTCCATGCATGGCTGCTCAAGTTTTTTTGTTCAATAATTTTAATTGAATTTTTATTTGAATTTTTCAGAAACAGAGTAGAATGTCTATAAGGAGTTGCATAGCCCCAAAACATGTACAGAATAAGAATTGAAGTATACAATAAAAAAAACTGTTTACACAGATAGCAGAAAGTATTTATACGTGCATGAGCTAACAGTTTTGGTTTTAGGGGCTGTCATAATAACACTTAAGTGTTACTAAACTCTGGACCCTGCATTCACTATATCCGCTCTCCCCGGACCCCGCAATTCACTATATCCGGTCTCCCGGACCCCGCATTCACTATATCCACTCTCCTCGGACCCCACGTTCACTATATATGTTCTCCCCGGACCCCGTGTTCACTGTAGCCGCCCTCCCCGGACCCCGCATTCACTATAGCCGCCGTCCCCAGACCCCACGTTCACTATATATGCTCTCCCCGGACCTCGCATTCACTATAGCCGCTCTCCCCAGTCCCCGCGTTCACTATAGCCGCTCTCCCCGGACCCCGCGTTCACTATAGCCGCTCTCCCCGGACCCCGCGTTCACTATAGCCGCTCTCCCCGGACCCCGCGTTCACTATATACGCTCTCCCCGGACCCCGCGTTCCACTATATACGCTCTCCCGGACCCCGCGTTCACTATATACGCTCTCCCCCGGACCCCGCGTTCACTATATACGCTCTCCCCGGACCCCGCGTTCACTATATACGCTCTCCCCGGACCCCGCGTTCACTATATACGCTCTCCCCGGAACCCCGCGTTCACTATAGCGCTCTCCCCGGACCCCGCGTTCACTATATACGCTCTCCCCGGACCCCGCGTTCACTATAGCCGCTCTCCCCGGACCCCGCGTTCACTATATCCGATCTCCCGGACCCCGCGTTCACTATATCCGCTCTCCCCGGACCCGCGTTCACTATATCCGCTCTCCCCGGACCCCGCATTCACTATATCTGGTCTCCCTGGACCCCCCCATTCACTATATATGTTCTCCCCGGACCCCGTGTTCACTGTAGCCGCCCTCCCCGGACCTCGCATTCACTATATCCGCTCTCCCAGACCCCGCATTCACTATATCCTCTCTCCCCAGGACCCTGCATTCACTATCTGCTCTCTCCGGACCCCGCACACACTATATCTGCTCTGTCACTATATCCGCTCTCCCCGGACCCGCATTCACTATATACGCTCTCCCCGGACCCCGCATTCACTGTATCCGCTCTCCCCGGACCCCGATTCACTATAGCCGTCCTCTCCCCGGACCCCGCATTCACTGTATCCGCTCTCCCAGACCCCGCATTCACTATATCCGCCCTCCCCGGACCCCACATTCAGTATAGCCTCTCTCCTGGACCCCGCATTCACTGTATCCGCTCCCTCCCGGACCCCGCATTCACTGTATATCCGCTCTCCCCGGACCCTGCATTCACTATCTAACGCTCTCTCCGGACCCCGCAATCACACACACTATATCTGCTCTGTCACTATATCCGCTCTCCCCGGGACCCCGCATTCACTATATACGCTCTCCCCGGACCCCAGCGTTCACTATAGCCGCTCTCCCCGGACCCCGCATTCACTATATCCGCCCTCCCCCCCGGACCCCGCGCATTCACTATATCCGCTCTCCCCCGGACCCCGCATTCACTATATCCTCTCTCCCCGGACCCCGCATTCACTATATCCGGATCCCCGCATTCTCCCCGACCCGGACCCGGCATTCACTATCTTCTCTCTCGGACCCGGACACTATATCTGCTCTGTCACTATATCCGCTCTCCCCGGACCCCGCATTCACTATATAGCCGCTCGTCCCCGGACCCCGCATTCACTATATCCGCTCTCCCCGGACCCCGCATTCACTATAGCCGCCCTCCCCGGACGTCCCCGCATTCACTGTATAGCCGCTCTCCCCGGACCCCGCGTTCACTATAGCCGAGTTTCCTCCCCGGACCCCGCGTTCACTATATCCGCTCTCCCCGGACCCCGCGTTCACTATACCCCGCTCTCCCCGGACCCCGCGTTCACTGTAGCCGCCCTCCCCGGACCCGCATTCACCGCCGACCCAGAACCGCGTTCACTATATCCCCGCTCTCCCCGGACCCCGCGTTCACTATAGCCCGCTCTCCCCGGGACCCCGATCACGTTCACTATAGCCGCTCTCGACCCGGACCCCCCGCGTTCACTATAGCCGCAGCTCCCCGACCCCCGCTCTCTATAACCGCTCATCCCCCGGACCCCGCGTTCACTATAGCCGCTCTCCCCGGACCCCGCGTTCACTATAGCCGCTCTCATCCCCGGACCCCGCGTTCACTATTATACGCTCTCCCCGGACCCCGCGTTCACTATATACGCTCTCCCCGGACCCCGCGTTCACTATATCCGCTCTCCCCGGACCCCGCGTTCACTATATCCCGATCTCCCCGGACCCCGCGTTCACTATATATCCGCTCTCCCCGGACCCCGCGTTCACTATATACGCTCTCCCCGGACCCCGCGTTCACTATAGCCCGCTCTCCCCGGACCCGCGTTCACTATATCCGCTCTCCCCTGGACCCCGCGGTTCACTATATCCGCTCTCCCCGGACCCCGCGTTCACTATATCCGGTCCCGATCTCCCCGGACCCCGCGTTCACCTCCCCGGACCCCGATCTCCCCGGACCCCGCGTTCACTATATCCGATCTCCCCGGACCCCGCTTTCACTATATCCGATCTCCCCGGACCCCGCGTTCACTATATCCGATCTCCCCGGAACCCCGCGTTCACTATATCCCGATCTCCCCGGACCCCCGCGTTCACTATATCCGCTCTCCCCGGTCCCCCGCGTTCACTATATCCGCTCTCCCCGGACCCCGCGTTCACTATATCCGCTCTCCCCGGTCCCCGCGTTCACTATATCCGCTCGTTCACTATATACGCTCTCCCCGGACCCCGCGTTCACTATATCCCGCTCTCCCCGGTTCCCCGCGTTCACTATATCCGCTCTCCCCGGACCCCCGCGTTCACTATATTCCGCTCTCCCCCGGACCCCGCGTTCACTATAGCCGATCTCTCCCCGGACCCCGCGTTCACTATAGCCGCTCTCCCCGGACCCCCTCGTTCACTACATCCGCTCTCCCCGGACCCCGCATTCCACTATACATCTCCCGGACCGCTCGTTCACTATATCCCCCGGACCCCGCGGTTTCACTATTCATCTGTACCCCGCCGATACGCTCTCCCCGGACCCCGCATTCACTATAGCCCGTAGCCGGACCCCGCGTTCACTATAGCGCCTCCCCGGATTCCCGCGTTCACTATATCCGAATATCCCCCGGGACCCCGCATAACTAATCCGATCTGTAGACCCCGCCCTCCACAGATCTCCCCCGCATTCACTGTATCCACCCTCCCCGGACCCCGCATTCACTATATCCAACCGATCTCCCGGACCCGCATTCACTATATCCGCTCTCCCCGGACCCCGCATTCACTATATCCTCTCTCTCCCCACTTTACCCCGGCGCGTTCACTATCCGCTGCTCTCCTCCGCGATCCGCCCCCGGTCCACACACTATATCTGCTCTGTCCACTATATCCGCTCATCCCGGTCCTCCGCGTTACTATATCCCTCCCGGACCCCGCATTCACTATACCCGCGTTACCGCTCTCCCCGGACCCCCCGCATTCACTGTATACCGCTCTCTCCCGGACCCCACATTCACTATAGCCGTCCCTCCCCGGACCCCGCATTCACTGTATCCGGATCTCCCCGGACCCCGCATTCACTATAGCTGCCCTCCCGGACGCGCCTCACTATAGCCGCCTCCCCAGACCCCGCATTCACTATAGTCTCTCTCCCCTGGACCCCGCATTCACTATTAGCTCCCCTCTCCCGGACCCCCGCATTCACATATCCGCTCTTCCCCGCTCCCCCGCATTCACTTATATTCCTCGACCCCGCTGCTTTCACTATCTGCTCTCTCCGGACCCTGCACACACTATATCTGCTCTGTCCACTATATAGCCGCTCTCCCCGGATCCCCGCATTCACTATATCGCTCATTCAACTGTATTCGCTTCCCCGGAACTGCATTCACTATCTGCCGTCCTCCCCGGACCTGCAACACGAATTCACTGTATCCGCTCCCCGGACCCCGCATTCACTATATAGCCCGCTCCTCCCCGGACCCCGCATTCACTATATCCGCCCTCCCGGACCCCCCCGCATTTCACTATCCCCGGGACCCGCATCCGCTCCTCCCCAGACCCCGCATTCACTATATCCTCTTCTCCCCGGACCCCGCATTCACTGTACTATGCCACCCTCCCCGGACCCCGCATTCACTGTATCCGCTCTCCCCCGACCCTGCATTCACTATCTTCTCTCTCCGGACCCCGCACAACTATATCTGCTCTGTCACTATATCCGCTCTCCCCCGGACCCTGCATTCACTATATACGCTCTCCCCGGACCCCCGCATTCACCTTGTATCCGCTCTCCCCGGACCCCCCGCATTCTCTCCCGGAACCACTATAGCCGCCCTCAACCCCAGGACCCCGCATTCACTGTATCCGCTCCCCGGACCCCGCATTCACTATAGCCCGTCCTCCTCCCCGGACCCCGCATTCACTGTATCCCCGCTCTCCCCGGACCCCGCATTCACTATATCTCCCTCCCCGGACCCCACATTCACTATAGCCTCTCTCCCTGGACCCCGCATTCACTGTAGCAGCCCTCCCCGGACCCCGCATTCACTGTATCTCGCCTCCCCGGACCCTGCATTCACTATCTGCTCTCTCCGGACCCTGCACACACTATATCTGCTCTGTCACTATATCCGCTCTCCCCGGACCCCGCATTCACTATATACGCTCTCCCCGGACCCCGCATTCACTATAGCCGCTCTCCCCGGACCCCGCATTCACTATATCCGCCCTCCCCGGACCCCGCATTCACTATATCCGCTCTCCCCAGACCCCGCATTCACTATATCCTCTCTCCCCGGACCCCGCATTCACTGTAGCCACCCTCCCCGGACCCCGCATTCACTGTATCCGCTCTCCCCGGACCCTGCATTCACTATCTTCTCTCTCCGGACCCCGCACACACTATATCTGCTCTGTCACTATATCCGCTCTCCCCGGACCCTGCATTCACTATATACGCTCTCTCCCCGGACCCCGCATTCACTGTATCCGCTCTCCCCGGACCCCGCATTCACTATAGCCGCCCTCCCCGGACCCCGCATTCACTGTATCTCCGCTCTCCCCGGACCCCGCATTCACTATATCCGCCCTCCCCCCGGACCCCACATTCACTATAGCCTCTCTCCCTGGACTCCGCATTCACTGTAGCTGCCCTCCCCGGACCCCGCATTCACTGTATCCGCTCTCCCCGGACCCTGCATTCACTATCTGCTCGCTCCGGACCCTGCACACACTATATCTGCTCTGTCACTATATCCGCTCTCCCCGGGACCCGCATTCACTATATACGCTCTCCCCAGACCCCGCATTCACTATAGCCGCTCTCCCCCCGGACCCTGCATTCACTATAGCCACTCTCCCCGGACCCCGCATTCACTATATCCTCTCTCCCCGGACCCCGCATTCACTATATCCTCTCTCCCCGGACCCTGCATTCACTGTATCCGGTCTCCCCGGACCCTGCATTCACTATATATGCTCTCCTCGGACCCGAATTCACTATATCACACTCTCCCCGGACCCCACATTCACTATATCCGCTCTCCCCGGACCCTGCATTCACTATATCCGCTCTCCCCGGACCCTGCATTCACTATATCTGGTCTCCCCGGACCCTGCATTCACTATATCCGCTCTCCCCGGACCCTGCATTCACTATATCCACTCTCCCCGGACCCTGAATTCACTATATCCACTCTGCCCAGACCCCGCATTCACTATATCCGCTCTCCCCGGACCCCGCATTCACTATATATACTTTCCCACGGTACACACAACATGGAAATGCAATTATTTTAGTAAATATAAACTGCTAAATACCTTTTCTCATCAACAATCTTGTGACGTCTATCTGTCCAGCAGAGCGCTGGTTACAGCTTGTAGAAGGAGTTTTCATTCTCCTGTAGGAGGCTGCAGGACCGCTAACCTCTATTTGGAGATTTGCTGATTAACCCTGTGCTGATGACAAGAAAAAAAAAAACTTTATAGCAATACACACCAAACTGAGCATGTGCATCTTGCTCCCGAGCATCTGTTCTATCAGGAGATATTTTAGGAGACAATGGAAGAAGGGAAGAATCAGAGAAGAGAAGATCAAACATCCTTTATACACAAGGCAGAGGATTAACCCCTTATGTTCCACAGTGAGTATAACAAGCATGCTTTACGGCATCTACAGACTGATTGTACTGTCGTGGGTTCAGTAACACTTTACGATCGGACAAAGTCTCTATCTGGGCCACACAAAGCTCTTGTATAGTAGGGAAGTATACAGCTGTTCCAGCATGGTAGGAAATTATTAAACTGTCATTTTAATTTTTGTCCACAAGATGTCGCTGTTCTACCACCTTCTGCAGACACGCCAACGTTAGTCTGAAACAAAGTAAATATTTCTGCTACTTTGTTGCTGTTTGATGCAAAATGTATTAAGTTCTATTTAAAAGAGATGTACAAACAATATTTACAATATACGTTTTTCTTGTATGAAATGGAAACATTGAATGCATTTTTGGAGGAAAAAAATTTTAAATTGCACATCACGGAAGGCTGCTATAGTGTGAACTGAGCCAGTCCTGTCCACCATCACTGAATGGACGGTTCATTACCCCGCCAACAGTCCTCCCCGATCCTCTGCCGGGTGTTCAGCTTTCTTATAGGCCAGCTGTAATAGGCTGGTGCTGGCTGTACTTCCTATGTCACAATACAAATGGCCGCTACACTCTGATACTCCAATTCACTCACCTAGTTGGCACCTTCAGTTTAATCATGGGTATGCTTTAAAGCACGGGGTGTCAAACTGGTGGCCCTCCAGCTGTTGCCAAAATCCCATGAGGCATTGCAAGATTGACAGTTACAAGCATGAGTCCCAAAGGCAGAGGTATGATGGGACTTGTTGTTTGGCAACAGCTGGTGGGCCACCCGTTTGACACCCCTGCTGCAAAGACATCAGTCTACCCAAAAATGGAAGACTGACATATCTCACAAAATGAGTTGTGGAGATCTCTGTATTCTGTAGATGGTGGTATGGAGGACCTGTACTGTGCCCATTACTGATTACCATGCCTTGTTCTGCACTATGTCTCTGTATGGGGGAGGCCATCTTGGTAGAGGAGCAGGGTTTTGCTTCCTCAGCTCAGAGCTGCTTCCCTGATGACTGATGGAGGGTGCAGTATAATGGTAGAAGCAGCGGAGTTGTGGAAAAAGCACTGATCTACAGAATGAATAAAGCTGAAAGATCCTTCCACTGCAGGTCCTCAGGTGCAGCTACCCCTCCAGCAAGGAGAAAATTGAGCAGCACAGTAGTGACATCATCTAATGCAGTGTTTTTCAACCTTTTTTGTGCAAAGGCACACTTTTTTCATGAAAAAAATCACGAGGCACACCACCATTAGAAAATGTTAAAAAAATTTACCTCTGTGCCTATATTGACTATATATAAAGTAATTCTCTTGAATAGGAATCAAACACAAAGAAATTATTTTATAATTACTTTATTATGAAATAATAAAGTATTTTATAATTGGACCCCGGGGGCCGACCAAGAGTAGATGAATGATGTGTATGTGTCATCCATAGTAAGTATAGTAATATTCCCCCATAGTAAGCATAGTAATTAATCCCCCATATAGTAATTCATCCTCCATATAGTAATTCATCCCCCATAGTAATTCATCCCTCATATAGTATTTCATCCCCCCATATAGTATTTCATCCCCCCATATAGTATTTCATCCCCCCCCCATATAGTATTTCATCCCTCATATAGTAATTCATCCCTCATATAGTATTTCATCCCTCATATAGTATTTCATCCCTCATATAGTATTTCATCCCCCATATAGTATTTCATCCCCCCATATAGTATTTCATCCCCTCATATAGTATTTCATCCCTCATATAGTATTTCATCCCCCCATATAGTATTTCATCCCTCATACAGTAATTCATCCCTCATATAGTAATTCATCCCCCCATATAGTATTTCATCCCTCATATAGTATTTCATCCCCCCATATAGTATTTCATCCCTCATATAGTAATTCATCCCCCCATATAGTATTTCATCCCCCCATATAGTATTTCATCCCCCCATATAGTATTTCATCCCTCATATAGTAATTCATCCCTGATATAGTAATTCATCCCCATATAGTATTTCATCCCCCCATATAGTATTTCATCCCTCATAAAGTAATTCATCCCTCATATAGTATTTCATCCCCCACAGTACTATTTCCCCCCCCCCCTTCTAGTAAGCCAAGTCCCCCGTGTCAATTCACTTACCTTTTGCGTTCCTCTCGCTGTCTTCCCGCGCCGTTCGGGTCTTCAGGGCGGACTGTGAGAGGAGCCTAGCTCCCCTCCCCTCACGTTCGGCACGCTGCCCCGCCTACACACATCCTGACAGCCACATCCGCAAGCCGGATTAAAAGGTCCGCGCGGACTTTTGGGGCTGCCAACCGAGAGGAGGCAGGGGAGCGGCCGACCGAGAGGAGGGAGGGGAGCAGGCGCCCGGCACACAGAAGAGCCGCATTAGACTGGGTAAAGAGCCGCATGTGGCTCGCGAGCCGCGGCTTGCCGACCACTGAATCATTAGATTCTAATGATTGGTCTATTTGTGAGCCGAAGCCACATGTTACAGATGAAATTGGAATTTTTCCCACGGCACACACCAGACAATATCTCACGGCACACTAGTGTGCCGCGGCACAGTGGTTGAAAAACGCTGATCTAATGACTGGTGGAGGGTGCACTATGATGTAGAACAGGGGTCCTCAAACTACAGCCCACCAAAGACAATTATCCAGCCCGCTGGGCCAGCCAGAGAACAAAAAAATAAAAAAACCCAGCACTGGCCGGCAAATAGCTGGACTGCACGCTGGGTGCTCGGCCATGAGGACCCAGGGAGCGGCAGCCTGGGAGCGGCAGCCTGGAAGCCCCACATTTCACCTGCTGCAGCCAGAGGAGCAACAGGAGAGGAGGAGAGTACACCAGGTACAGTGCATTGCAGTGTCCAATGTATCACAGTACAGTGGCTTACAGAGTACAGTGCATCGCGGTGTCCAGTGCATTACAGAGTACAATGCATTGCGGTGGCCAGTGCATTACAGAGTACAATGCATTGCGGTGGCCAGTGCATTTTAAATATTGTATTGCTTTTCCCTGTTCTTTGCACTACAAATAAGATATGTGCAGTGTGCATAGGAGTTTTTTCATATTTTTTTTTCAAACTATAGTCCAGCCCCCCAACAGGTGAATGTCCGTGAACTGGCCCGCTGTTTAAAAAGTTTGAGGACCCCTGATGTAGAAGCAGCAGAAGAGATGGAAAAAGCACAGAGCTACAGAATGAATGCAGCAGAAGCAGGGGGATCCTTGCACTGCAGGTCCTCAGGTACAGCTACCCATCCAGAAAGGAGAATAATGAGCAGTATAGTCGTGGCTTCATCTGATGATTGGTGGGTTAATGACAGAGATAGAGAAAGCACAGATCCACAGAACGCATGAAGCAGAAGCAGGGAGATCCTTGCTCTGCAGGCCCTCAGGTACAGCTTCCCCTCCAGCAAGGAGAACAGTAGTGACATCACCCAATGACTGATGGGGTATTGATAGTGGTAGAGCAACCACAGACCCACAAAAAGGATGAAGCGGATATAGGGAAGCAGGGAGATCCTTACACTGCAGGTTGTTAGAACAGCTTCCTCTCCAACAAGGAGAACAGCGATCAGCACATTCACATGACTAGCAGTAAGTGTTCCCAGAGAGCTCTATCAATGAGCAATGAAGGCATTTAAAGCTGAAGTTTAATCTACTTGTATTTTTCTGAACAGATTCATCCCTCACACCCAGCAATATCATCAATGGATCTCTGTGCATCTTTATGCAATGCAGACAGATCATGGCTGGTGGGAAGGGCTGGCAGGGTGCTGTACATAGCTTCTTGTAAACATCACCCTGTCTCAGTACTTCTCTCAAGAGCCCTCAGTCTTGATGCAAGCAGTGGGCTGGCTACTGGCAGGAGTTATTCCAATATCAAAATGCCTTGATGGGTGGGTGTCAGGCTGGAGGTGTAGGTGTTCCTAGATAAACTGTATTGCAGACCACCCTAGGTAACACCCACATGTAATTGCTGATCCTCCATGATTGAAATTCAATGAAGGAAATGGGCGGGGACAGGGATAGTCAGGCTAGGGAGGAAAGCCTAAATAATGCTGGACATCTTCCAGCCAGGAAATGAGGCGGAGCTCTGTCTGACTTGCTGCAGCTTCTGATGCACAGTGTGAGAAGCCAACAGTGTGAAGTGAAATCAGAGGAAGCCATTTCAGCCCAGGAGAGGAGCCGCTACAACTGTGCAAGACTGAAGGGAAGGGACTCTGGCCTGACAAGTGGATTTTCCTCCACGACAATGCTCCTGCACATGATGCATTAAGTGTTTGGTCAAGTTTTGGAATGGATTTCTGGGTCAGGAACTCACAACCACCTTATTCCCCTGACTTGGCACCCTGCCACTTCTGGCTCTCTTTCCAAAAATAAAAAAAAGCCTTAAAAAAAGACACAGATTTGGTGACATTCTGAACATTCAGCACGCCGCTACAAAGATACTGAGCAGCATTCCAGAAAATGAATTCCAGGAATGTTTCTGGCAGTGGCAGAGTCGTCTGGAAAAGTGTGTCGCTTCACAAGGGGACTACTTTGAAGGTGA